GCTCCCCCCGCTGCTCCCGGCTGAACGGGTCGGTCCCAGCCGCCCGCTCGGGTGGGACCCGGTGACTCACTCGTCCCCATCGGTGCGAGATGCCGCAGGAGGGTGGGGTGGCCGCCAGCTGCAAAAGGCTCCTGATCTCAAGTTGAAACCAGCAGCTGATTTTCTAAAGAAACCCCGATTTGTCAGGATCGGTCTCGGTTCCTGATCTCCTGTGCAACAAATACAACCCTGCAAAGGTGTGTGGTATCTGCCAAACTGGTCCTGCCCCAGCAGCAAATGGGTCTCCAAAAAAAAAAGCCACTTTGCCGAGAAGAAGGGCTCAGGATGTGCAAAGTCTGGAGCCATTCCCTATTTAGAGGGGAAGCAGAAAGCAGCAGAGATGGGATGTTCACGTATGGGTGAGGACAGCTGAGGTGTGCAGTTCTTCCTTAATTCAACTTCCTTAGAACACTTTGTGCTCTGGTAAGCAGCAGCGGTTGCTGCAGAGCAGCTTTCCCCCTCTTAGCAGGGGTCAGCAGCCCGGGGGAGGGATCCTCACCCCCAGAGCCCACTGAGTCCCCCCGTGTGCGGGTAGGGCAGGACAGCCAGCCCTGCTTTGGGGCTTGGTCAGGTCAAGCTGTCTGTGATGGTTTTCTTTGGAGAGGGTTGAGGACGGGCTTGCAAAGACTTTGTGAGGGATCTGAATGCTGAGCAATGAAGGGAAAGGGGTTTCGTTTGTATTAAACCCAACTGATAACTGGTAGGAGCCTGCCCAAGAGGTATTATGTTTTCACCAAAGTGTGCCCAAAGATCTGTATCTTCTTTCTTTGTAACTGAAGCTGGTAAAAGCTATCCTTCAACCTTCCCAGAGCTCTGCTGGATTTGAAATTAAGGTATTTGTTATAAAAACACCTCGGTAAGTAACGCTTAAAACCAATGAAAGATGAGGAGGCTCATGGGGCTGAAATTGATAAAGGAACAAAAGAAGCTTCAGCCTGTGACTGAGAGGAACCTCAGGCCTGTTGTGGTTTAGTCTTGGGTGTTCCCCTGCACACCGTAGCTGTGTGTTGGTTACACTTTGCTGCGGCTTTTCTCTGACCTGTCTTGGTAGGAAAAAAATTTGCTGTTGTATGTAGCTGGGGGCAGGCTCATCTTGTGTCCTTCCCCTTCTTTCCCAGTAAATAAACTGTTGAGATGAGACACTGGTGCAAAGGAGAGGAGACTGGCAGGCAAGAAATGAGAGCACTGAGGAGAAGGGAATGACTGAAATACAAGTACTGGGGAACTGAGAGGAAGGAAAGCAAATTCAGTCACAGTTTCCCAGTGCTCTGTGTCCCGTGGCATCAGTGCTTGCTTTTGGTCAGTGGATGTAAGATGGGTCATTTGACTTATGGGAATGCTGGAGGTGTGTCCTGTTCCTGCAGCGTGGACACCTCCCACGCCGTGGGGAAGCACTCCTGGTACCGGCCGCTGGGTTAGCTCAGCATCCGGCTGCTCGGCAGGTGGGTACCGGCACACCGGCCCCCGAATGAGCACGCACTCGGGGATACGGCCTGAGGACCCATCCCTGCACGGTATGTAAGGGCCAGGTGAGGGAAGGTATACCCAGATTTGAGCTGGTGGGTTAAATGTGTCCCCCCAGAAAAGCTCTTGGGCCCTGGTAGGGTGTGTCTCAAGGAAATGGGTGGAAAAAGTGAAAACAGAAATCACAGGACACTCCAGGGATACCTGAGGATCTGGAATCTGCACAGCGGGTGCAGGAAATCCCAAGGTATGTTTGAGAGGGAGTGGGGAAGAGTGGCTGTGAGCCAAGTGACAGGGGAATAGTCACAAATCAGGTCTGTCAAGTACTAGGAAAACTGAAACCATTTCCAGAGCATCTCCCCTGGCACAAGAGATCCTCAGGTGACTCACACAGCAGGACATGGCACGGCAGGGGGTTAGACATTAGAGAAGCCTCAATACAGAGGTGTGAACACAGGACTGAGGCCAGGGGCTGGAAAAGGCTGGCATGAATGAGTCACATAAAACAAGGCTCCTGGGACCGGGTTTGAGGATCAGGGAGCACACTGAGACCTCAGCTGGACAAAGCCCTTTCTCCTGTCAGGTCCAGCCTGCCTGCCTTTTGTGGGGGCTGAAAGAGCTCAAAAGCAAACTCAAATCCATATTTGCTCTGATAAAGGATATGCAAAACCCACACAGCGAGCTGAGTGATAGATCTGTAATGAAATACTCATGGCTTTATATGGAATCACAAAAATCTATTTTCATCTGAGGACTAAAAAGAGAGTTGAATATAAATTACATTATCTGCCAGCAAAAAAAAAACCAAACCCAACCTGTATCTGCCTTGCTTTCCCACTGTCCTTGTGGTTCATATTTCTGACACCGAGATCCCTTTCCTCCAAGGCGCTCAGTATTCACTCTGGGTTCGTACAGGATGGGTCCCTCCAGGCACAGACTTAGAGCTGATCGATAGAGCCCTGGGTTGACAAGCGCTGGGGGTGTGGAAGGACTCTTAACCATTCTGACCTTCGTCGAGAGGTTGTTCTGGTGTGCAGGCAATAAGCAAGTAACCTGACATCATAGGGCAGAGCCCATATTCACCCTGCAGCACTTCTTGAGTGCTTATAAACTTAAACAAGACTGTATTTGTACAAACAAAACCAGCAACTTGAGGCCAGGTGGTCCCCATAGACTCCTCAGGTGTTTGCAGACAGGTCCTGAGCATCACTGCTGGGTCAAACTTCTCCTTTCCCTCCTCAGGGCAGCACAGGACGGAGGAGTTCCAGAAGGTGAACATCCTGATGAAGGTGCCTGCGTTAAGGGATGGTTCTTTCACCTTAGCAGAGAGGTGAGGCTCACAGAAGCTCAAAGCCCTACTGCAGTTTTGTTTATCCTAATGCTTGGATTCTGGCAGTGTACTGTGAGGTCTCTGTGGGGACTCCAGCCCAGGTAGTTGTTTGCCTCCTTCCTACCTGACCCTCCTGTACATCAGATAAACCTGTGTTTCAAGAGAAGCTTTCTCGTGTAAGCAACTTGATCGTGGAAAAATCTGTGAGCTGCTGCTCAGAGCTAGCTTGCACGTAGGCAGTGTTTCTGAGCTTAAATACCTGCCAGTCTGTCCTCCTGCTCTACAGCTGGAGGCTGTAGGTCGACGCAGTGAATCTGACACACGGCACCTGCTGCTGGGCACCCAGGCAACACAGAGCTGGGATTTGATATAAACTCATTCTGTGGCTCATATTTGCTCAAAAACTATTGATGGGGGAACTGTACCAGCAGGGCACGTCTGTCTCACTGGGCTGAGGTAATCACGTAATTGCTGTCCACAGGCAGCGGGTCTGGCCAGCACATCCCTCTGGTGTGCTGCGCATCGCTGGCTGTTGTGTCCTGTGCTTACACCTGACTCGGATCAGGTCTGTAGTGCTGCTGGTCCAGCAATGCAAAATCTGGGGGAAGGAGAAAGGATGAGGTGCTTTAATCTCAGATTATCAGGTCTGTCTTGCTCTCTGGGCAGCATTGCAATCCTCCTGTACCTGGCCCGGAAATTCAAGACTCCTGATCACTGGTACCCATCTGACCTGCAGAAGAGGGCTAGGGTGGATGAGTACCTGTCGTGGCAGCACGTCAACATCCGTGGGAAGGGGAGCAAGCTGTTCTTAACTAAGGTAAGAGCACTATATACCAAAAACTAAGTGCTACCAGCTGTGAGTGCAATGGCCTGGGAAGCACCTCCTGTCTGCAGGGCCTTTCTAAGCAAATGTACAAGCCAGGTGTCAGAGAGGAACAAAACTAGACCTGGAATTGACTTGGCTGCTCAGCCGAGCTTAACTGAAGTGGCCCCAATACTTCATGCCACAGCTCTGTGCATGCACCGAGATCCAGAGCAGATTTGCTCTGGGTGAGCAGCTAACACCAGACAGGGCTCACTGCCTTCTGCCCAGCTTCGTGGAAAGAACGAACCACCCATTGGAAAACAAAATGCGGTTGCCTGCAGATGATGCAGCCTTCCCTTGAGACGAGACACTCGTGGTTGAAATTTCAGACTTTCTAGGGAGGAGGCAAGGACAGGCAGGAATTAATGACTGACACTAGTGTTAATCTGCCAAAAGAGATTAGCAGTAGCAGTTCCAGTTATCCTCATGCATGGCTGGTGAGGGATCCTTAGAAGAAGGCAGTGGGAGGGTGTGGACTAAGTTTGGAAGGAAATATGTAAAAAGCAACTTGCTTCTTCTCCCTACCAGGTGCTGCTGCCTCTCCTCACAGGCCAGCCACTTCCTCCAGAGAAACTGGAAGGTGTTACTGAAGAGCTGAACATTGTCCTGAAGCAGTTTGAGGAGAAGTTCTTGCAGGACAAGCCCTTCATTGCAGGCAGTGAGGTCTCCCTGGCAGACCTTGTAGCACTGGTGGAGCTCATGCAGGTGAGCATCAACCCCAACACTGATGGATGTGCAAGCTGGGCTGCAGGCAGGCCAGGCCAAGGTGAGGCTGCAGCACCAGCACCGCTTCAATGAGACATCTTTCTCCCTGCAGTTAATTCCTTAGTGGGGTTAAATCTTGTTACTTTTTGACTTTGACCATAATTGAGTTTGCCAGGGAACACCTACTCTGAGAGACAGTTCTCTCTATAGAAGTATGGACAAAAATCCTCAGAAAAAAAAGATAAATTACAAACTAGGCAGAGCAAGTATGGATGTTTGGAAGAGATGTGTTGGTGTGCACGGACCTCTGTGTTCTGCCTTAGTCAGTTCTTGGGTTAGCCACGGCCGTGCTCTTTCGCTGCATGTCCCAGGGGACAGCAGCTGCTGACGATGACAACACTTGCTTCCTGCTAGCTAAGAGCCAGAGATGAACCCCACCTAACGTGATGACTGTTTGCTGCCTTGAGCCAAAAGCATATCCATGCTTCATTCTGGTCCTATCCCTGGCAAATGCGTTGTTTGACTCACTCCTGGGTTCTCTTGCTCCTTCTCTGCAGCCCGTAGGTGCTGGCTATGACCTCTTTGAGGAGAGGCCGAAGTTAGCAGAGTGGCGCAGGCGGGTGGAAGAAGCAGTGGGGAAGCAGCTCTTCCAGGAAGCCCATGAAGGGATTTTGAACATCAAGAACTTGACCGCTGATAAGATTGCACCTGAACTGCTGGAGCATTTCAAGCAGCAGCTCCTAAAGCAGGCCAGCCAGTAGAGCCAGGGGGCTCTACTCTAAGTAAAATGGAATATTTTGTGCAGGCTTTTTGTAGTATTTCAGTATTTCTTCTAAAAATCATAGAGAAACACCATTCCACAAAACGCACTTCAATCACAGTCTTTCTGCAACTTAGAAGGGAAGAAAACTACATCTTAAACAGACTGCAGTGAGCTGCTTTCCCCTCTTGTCCACTACAGGTATGTGAGCTGTATCCCTATAGGCTTTTTGTTCTTGCTCCATCACCACTGGATCTGCTTGAGGACAGAGGCAATTTGGTCCCTGTGGGAACTGGTGCCCATCAGAACTGCCCTTTCCATCCCTGTTTTGTTTCCTAGGTCACAGCACTATAGAAGGGCCAAAGGTTTCCTGAGGGTATGGCAGAGCAGATTTGTCTGAAACAAGGAAAAATTATTGAAAATGGCTTTCACTTTGCAACAAGCTGAGCTGAAAGATTTTTGCTCTTTCCATAGAGGGATGGGTCAGGACCCAGCCCTGGTGGCACTGGCCACTAGAGGCTGCCACCTCACCTGTGGGACACAGTGCAGAGGAGCAGGGGGGTTGTGCAGGTACCCAAGAGAGGCCTCCAGCTTCTGGGAAGGATGGGATTACTCCCATAGAGATCCTGAACCACAGATTCATGCCATACTCTGCAGAGAACAGCCTGCCCAGCTGAGCAAAGCTACTTTGCTGAGTGAAACTGCTGCCAACCACAGGGTCCCCCTCCCCAAGCCATCCTGCTGCTCTGTCCTTTCCCCGGAGCAGCTTTTCCAGCTCCATGGAAGCCATTTCAGCCAGGTTCTCTCCACTGCTGAGTGCTGCTGGTGGCAGTGGAGCTGTGCCGGGGTGAGCGGAGTGCGCAGTGTATGAGCTGAGTAATGCCTCCAACACAGTTAATGTTCCACTACTCTTCTGTCATGTCAGATTCTCCAGTAAAGTTAATGGTTACACTTCACGTGTTGTAGCTCTGTTTGGATTTGTAAACAGGATTTGGAAGGAAGTGGCCCCTGATTCATCCTCCCCACCTGTGCAGTACCCTTCACAGCCTGTGTCCCTTTGTCCCCCTCCTGCCTTCCTGTCCTCCTGTCCCTGTGACCTTCGGTTTCCAGGTGTGAGCCATGGGGAGGGCTCCAGTTTGCAAAACTGTTTGGTTTTTTTTTCCCCTTCTTGTTAAGCTCTGGTTGTATCTGGAAGTCCGTTTGTCTCTGCTGGCTGGTCACACCATCCACAGAGGTGGCTGCACAGTACATGCATCTTACACTTGGGTGTAAGATGTCTGTCACCTTAATGCAAGTCAAGTTATTGCAGTGCTCAGAAAAGGTGAAAGTAGCTGCTCAAACCAGTCTCACACATCCTGTCAGCTGGACCTACTGGTTTGGGGGAATGAGCCAGCTGCCTCTTCTGTGTTTGTTTCCTGAGTAAACCTCCCCTTAGTTCGAAAGGGCACCATGAACCACAGCTTCTAACGTACCTCCCTGCGGGCTGAGCTAAAGCAGCCTACCAGGCCAGTCCCTTTCACTTTCCAGTCTTCCAACCTGCAGGAAATCCTACATGTCAGCAGTGAAAAAGCAGATTTGCCCCGAAACTCTTTCAATTCTGACACAGGCAGGGATATTTGTTTTCTTACCTAATTTTTTAATCAGTAAATTTGTTGAGGAGAGCCTATTGCACTCCAGCTGGCAAAGTCGGTGACAGCAGATCTCTCCTCGCCCTGCAAGTGCGGGCATGGTTGGTGCCTGAGCAGCAGCTCTCCAGGCACTGCACGGCTCCGCTATAGCAGTTTGCCAGCAGTGCTAAGCCTGAAGAAAACAGCCTGTTTACACTGTACCGCCAACCACTTCCTTTCCTCTCTAACCTGCAGCTCACCACAGCCACCAGCTGGGCTTCTGTGCACCGCTGGAATAAAAGAGGTCCTTTGCTACCTCCCCAAAGCTGCTCAACCTCACTGCACGTTTGCCTGTTCACATTTGTACTGGGCTTAACTTCCAGATTCCTGACCTCCAACTTCTCCCTTTTATTGTAGAGAGCAAACCTCCTCCTACCAGCACCATCAATTCCTCACGCAGCTTCTGTTCAAGTAAAAGCAGAGCAGAGAAACCATCAAAACCAAAAGCCTAATCTATAGAGTGCTAATCTTGACAAGTCGCCCAACTGGGCTTGGTAGCAGAGCCCTCCTTGATACAGGTCTCCCCACAGAATCTTGAGACAGGGCTGCTGTGCATGCAAAACCACTGCATGAGCCAAAGCAAATGGAGTGCTTTTTTGTTGTTTTTCCTCATTTATGATACTTGCAGCACAAGAGCTCCATGTAAGAGAGTCTTGAGCCAATTTTCTGCCTGCTTGAATGAGGCACAAGTTCCTTAAACGGCACTCGTTGTGTGCTCTTGCAATGACTGCCTTCAAAACCAAGCTGGAACTATGTTCAGAGCTCATTGTCTCGTGCTCCTCTACTGTCAGTGTCACAAAGGATAAACACACCGATAGGCAACTGCCTCGCTCCAGCACGGGCATGGTGACAGGAGCTTTTAAATTGTTTTCCTCATAGTCTTCTCTGCTCTAAGCCCATCTGAGCTGTAGGTTCACCCTCCCAGTGAAGCTGTGTGGGCCGTGACCAGTGGCATTTTGGGCCCTTCTACACATGCAGGACAAAGCACCTCCCCAGAGTAACTCCTTGGATGGCAAGAGAGTCGTACAACAGATAAATCTGCCTTGCTGGTTTTTTTTTCACTCTAAATCATAGAGATAAGGCATCTCGTCCTTGTACTTTGCCTTTTGCTGTCCCTCCACCTCCCCCATTTTGTTCATTTGTGTCATTTGATCTTGGCTGGTTCCAGCCCCTGGACTGAGCGCCCCCGGAGCTGCCTGCCAAAACCCAGTGGGTTGTGCCAGAGCTTTGCCTGCCTCAGTGCAAGGTCTGCTCAGTGTCCATTCCCCTTTCACCTGAATATGGAGAGGGGTTACACCTCCAGTGACAGTTTAATGTGCTGTTCTGATTCAATTTCCTCAATTCTTGCCAGGGGCTATTTGGAAATAGGTGAGAACCTGTGATTTCTAGAATAAAACAAAGCTGGGATACACAAAATGGGAGGAATGTTTAAAAAAACAGATACACATCCTGAGACATTTTCTAAATGATTAAGAAATAAACTGCAAAAGTTACTATTTTGTCTGTGTTGTTCCTGTTTCCAAAAAAAAAGCTGACAGAGAAAGTACAGGGAGGAAAAGCAGCCTTTGAGGTGGGGGAGCCCAATGAAGATACAGTGCTAGAAGTACTAGCCAAGAGCCAGGAAAAATGCAATCAAATGCCACGTAACACAACCAGATAAAAATATCTCTGTGGTTGTGTGGGTTGTGCAGTGCAGTCAGCAAACCAGAGAAAAACTTAAGGAAGGAACATTGGCAGGAGGCACATGAAAAGATCTTTGAAGTCCAGATAGGACTAATGGATCAACTGAACCATAAAGGAGCAAAGTGAACCCACGCTGTTAATCTTGCAACCCACTGCTGAGATCAACAAACTCTCTCAGTGATATCTGAGAGTAGGGACACACAACCATTTTGAAGCACAAAGGCTTCTTGGACTATTACCTGTGCAGAGCCATGTTCACACTCCTTTTCCCCACTCCCTTAAGATTTCTTTGCACTGAAGGAGTTTGACATGAACTCAAGCACCTGCCACAATATGAGCCTTCATCTCTGGCGTGTTGGTGCTGCGTGCAGGTGCTCTAGAGGGTAAAACCATACAGCTGGGGAGCTGAAGGGTGTGTGTACACAGCCCCTCTCCCTTTTCTGGCCAAGAAACTGAAAAACTCTTACCGTGCAGTTCTAAATCTGCACAGTGACTCCAAAAGTAGGTGCAAGGTGCAGCGGACTCGGTACTTGATGCGGAGATGCAGCTTGTTCACCAGGCTCTGGCAGACTGACCAGTCTAATGATAATCCTCATTCCTAAGGAGTTCTCAGGGCAGAAGTCGTGGCAAAGTGGTATAAAATGAAGCACCTGAAAGTGTTCCAGTTTGTAGTTTATCCAGTCAATGAGCTCCCAGCTCAGTATCCAAACCTTCTCACCACCTTTTGTAATGACCCTTTACACAAGGAACAGAGCAACTGATCCTCCAGTTCCCTCTCCCTGAGGTTCCTGTGGCTCTTTCCAGGGATTTGTGTGTGATGGACAAGCTCTCTGGCACAGCACTGATAAAAAGGTGTCAGCTGAGCCGAGCTGGGTTTGACTGGGGGTGACATTGCTCTGAGTGGTTCAGCTGCTCTATCTTCCAGAGTCCCAGAAGTCCTTGTACTCAAGCAGCATGTCACCTTCCCTGAATGGTACAGCTGTGAAACCCTGTGGGCTCTGTGCAAGGGCCTGGATTCAGTCTGAGCTTCTTTAGTTCTCCTCCACTTGCGTGGAAATCTGAAATGACAAATGCCAGGGAGAGAGGAAAGTCAGTTCACTGTGAGTATGCAGAGGTAACGCCTGTGGAGAAGTCCTCCACGCTTCACTGCCATCCAGGTGCCACCTCACAGCGCTGGGCAGTGACTACGTGACCAAAGAACCATCTTCTGAACTGGAAACCACACTGGGATGCGGCGGTGCGAGGTTAACGCAGGCTGAGAGCTGTCACACAAGGGCCCCGTTTGCAGCGTGACACGTCCCTGCAGAGCTGTGTTCCGAAAACAAGCGTGTCCCGTGTGCGGGCTGCGGTGGGATGCTGCGGGGGAAAGCGGGCTGAGCCCCTGCGGCCTCAGCCCA